CAAATGTTCAGGCATTGCAGTAGTTGATAAGGAGAGATTCCAGATTCGGTAGTGCCTTTCGCTCTCTTCTTTGCGTCACAACACGACCCTCCAAACTCAACTACAGCCTGGACACAATCTATCTCCTCAACAACACTGTCTTTGTGGGTAACGACCAAATGTTTGTTGAGGCATTTTCCTCTCTAGTCGGCCAGCCTTCACACGAAATAGCATCATAACTCGGCTGACATCGAGTGCTACTGTATAACTAATCCAAATGAAGAGTAGCGATCGGGCTTAAACATAGAAGAACATGATGTAAAGAGTGAAAGAACAAATCTCCATACCATGCTACAAAGACTTTTTACTTTTTTGCTTTTACATTTTTCCCATCCACAGTTCATGCAATAGTTACTAGAAAGATTGTACAAATGCAATTCGTTTGGTTAGTGCATTGGCATTGTTCAAATATTAAGTGCTCTTCTTCCGTTGAATACTAGAACTGACTGTGCAAAATGTATTAATTTTATCGAAGGGATGAAGACCAAGATGGCGTGGCCTTTTGTGTGGTCGCAGTCTCCTTTTGTTGTATAGAACTTGTTTGACCTTGCTTTCGCAAATTGGTCACATTGGTAGGAAAACGTAGAGGAACGCAGCTCCATTCCAACTTCGAATGAACGGGAAACTTTCATGGTATCAAAATAAAAATGAAAATCTACACAATATTAAAATTTTCCATTTAAACTTATACAACTTCCTCATAGGCCCAAGTTACGAGAATGAATGATATACAAGAAAAATAATATGGATTTGATTTAACTAGTGATACTTAATAAATGTCGCACAATGGAGAAGTCAGGAGGTCTACCAATCTAACCTGGTAAAAAAGTCAAAACTATAGTGTAGATACGAAACGTATCTGAGTTTCAATAAATGTCCTGAGCTAACATTGTTGGGGAGACTTTTATTTCGTATGAAAATGCATGAAGAAGAGATTCGCAGGTTGATCTCAGCATAAAAGGACGGCTGAATCGCGTTTTACTGCACCCGTTTGTCTTTTATACGGCGTTCATGTTGACGTAGTCCACTAGACCTCCTTCCGCGTTTCGGGTACAAACGGTTTGATCTTTCGTCCATCATTCGATCGACATCATCAGAGCTGGGTTTCATTCTTGTAAGATTATCACGTAAACACGACGGCAAGAAGATAATCCGGTTCTATCTTACCTCTTTAATAGACTCAATTAAGCCAAAATAAATTAAAAAGCTAGATGGATATAGAGGGGTTTAGCTAATTATCTTTCATACTGTCCTGTTACTTTTGCTCGAGTGTGCGAGTGTGTATATGTGTGTATTGAGATGTATTCACTCTATTTCGTGTAAGGTGATGAAGGACTGGTAGTAGAATTTTCCCAAAATGATATGAGTTTAGCTGACGTTTCCACTCAATTTCACATAGCCTTGCTTTCCCAAAAGTTGTTATCATCCCGACTAAAGTGGACTGCAGTTTA